GTGTCATCATTCTTCTTCTGTCTGCACACACGCTTTAATCAGATGTTATTTATGTCAGCGTGTGTCTCAGACGTTGTGTTTCTCAGCCCGTTCTTGCTTCAATTTGTTTTCTTCTTTGCTCTCTGTCCCCGTCTGCCTTTGCTATGCCTGAGGCAGCCCTTTATTCCTCTCTCAGATGTAGAACAAGGAGGTAAATCAAACCTTGAGTGGATTAGGCTACGCAGTCTGCAGCTGCTTCTCTTGTTGCCACCCCTGTCTGCCACCATGTTTCTTTACAGATGGCCCTCTTGCACGTTCGCAAGGCAGCGTTTGAAATACTGACCTGCTTAGAAAGCTCCCATGTGTTGTCACAATTCTCTTCCCCCGGCAGTCTGGCGAGCCTCACCGAACATTGTGCCTCTCTATGTGTTCCTGAAAGATATATGAGGGAGGTCAATAACTCATTTGGCACCTGGGAGAAAGTGCAGGGGGGTGGGGGGAGGAAATTGAGTTGAAACCCAGCATTCATTTCCTGTATTCGAACAAGTTCATTTTCACCAGGCGGACAGACAGTTTGTCTTTCTGTATGTAGTGTAGTTACAAGATGGAAGTGGGGTCCCCCTGTATCCATGCTGCAAAGTCCAACATGTTAACTTATGGACAGACTGATAAATTTGTCTCCCAGCAGCTCATGTATCCTTGTGTGGCGTGTAAGTAAACACTACCCAAGTTACAATATCATGGCGAAGGTCATATTTTACAACAATGCAAACTGTTGTTAGATTAATCCCTGTAATTTTCTCCTATTGCGCTGCTCCAGAAACCCCCCTGAGGTTGTTGACCTATGCGACTAGCAATTTGACGCATATCATGTTTAATGCATTTCATTGTCTGGGATTTTTTTGTGTGTTTTACATAAAAGGCCTCTGTGAAAAACACTGTTATTTTCCTTAACCGCTGTGGAGGTGTGGGCGTGAGAGGGGAAGTGCTGTTTGGCAGTTAAAGTGGTCACTTCCTCCGTACGGGAAGCTTCGGAGGCCCCGGACTCTCTGATTTCTCCGAAGACCGTGTCGGCCGTCCTGCGCAACATCACGCTGGTCTTCAGGACCTCTGGGCTGGGCCAGTCCAGCACTAGCCACAACAGAACCTAGTGGTCCACTACGAGACACTGCCAGGTCTGCTACACAGCCGCCGCACGAGAGGGTCCAGAATAGTCTGGCCAAAACAAATCAAATGAAGCCAGACCAGCCCTGCGAGAAACAAGCTGGTCCACCCTTTAGTGGTGAAGGGTTGGCGCAATCTCGTTCCCTTTCTTCTTCTTCTCTTCCCCCTCTCTCATTTTGTCTCTGACTGTCTGCTCTGGACACGGTTTCTGATGTTACAGACCCATACATGTGTCCATACATCTGGGCCTGGATTTAGTTCTCGTTCTCTCTCTGTCTCCACTTTTTATAGTGTCCACACACAGAGATTTTACCACCACTGTGGTTGTTCTTTGGCTCCTTTCCTTTCTCTCTCTTTTCTGCCTCTATTTCTCCTCCTCGCTTGTCCACCCATACATTCTTATATTTAATTTCAGCTTTGCAGAGTCCTTGTTTAGCTCTTGGCTCCTCTGCAGCTCTTTTCTGTTGTTGTTTAAAACTGGTTTCCCTCTGGTTCACAGGGTTCAGCCTGACATAATGACCCCAGCTTGTCTTTTATCTCTTTTTCCCATTATGTTATTATTCCTGATCCGCTAATGGAGCTGATGTGTTTCCCATAATGTGCATGTCACACAGCCTGTTTAGGTTCTCCCAGCATGGATGGGGAGGAATTGTTGTCAGAGGGAATTAAGAATCAAATACTTGAGAGCGTAGACAGGAGGGGGGACATCACACCTGGGGAGAATAATGCTTAGGGACTCTCACTCTCTCCTTCCCTCCCTTGCTCCCTTCATCCCTTCCTACTGGTATCTCAGCTCTGCCAATAGTAATGACATTACCATATCTCTCCCCCCCACTCTCATCGCCCTTCCTACACCCCTCACCTCATCCCATGTCTCTTTAAATCTTTTTTTTTAACAGATTATGTGAGATGTTCTGTTGGGAGTTCCAACTTGTAAATGATCGAGCGAGCCAGATGCCTTCAGGCAGGCTTGTGTTAGCTAAAAAGCTAGAGAGTCTCTGGTGATGAGGACCGCAGAACCAGGCATCAGATGATTACATACCAAGGACAATATCATACACTTAGCTTGAGTAAAACTGTGGGGGTCTCTGTAATGACCAGTGCACATGTGTTGTGTGTAAAGCCTCTCTCTTGTTCTGCGGCTTTTCCCTCTCCTTTGTTCTACTTCTGTCTTTGCCACAGAGCTGTTGTAGCAGTGAGGTATGAGGCACTAACACTGCACAGAATCCGTGTTGCGAGCTGAAGAACAGGGCAGGATATCGTCTTGATGTATCCTGTGCGTCTGCTCAAAGATCTCTGAAAACCCCAAATCACCTCCAAATGGAAAGCAGAGGGTCGAGAGTGGCAGACGACACTCCATCTATCTGACTGCCCAGCAGCAGCAGCAGCAGCAGCAGCAGCATGACATGAGCTAAGTTAGTCAGCCGTGGCTCTCCTGCCAAGTGGTCTGAGCTGCCAGCACACACTTGCTCTAACCCAGTCAGAGAATCCGCCAGTTCAGTCAGCCAGTCATTCATCCAGCCAACGACGTCAACCATTGTTTTCAATCAATCATTTTCAGCTACGAATTACTCCAGTTGCGTCTGTGGTGCCCTTTTTTTTCCTCTGCCTCCTTCCTCTCTTTCGCTCTGTCCTCTGATGAAAGACACTCTCAGTGAGGTAGCCAAGCCGCTCCAGTTTGTTTTGACGTTTCGATGGCTCCGCCGTGAATGTGTTTAGAGTTTTCTTCACATGATCAGTAGTAGTTCAAAGGGTTTCAAGCACCGTGTGGTTGTGTATGAGGGGTTTGATTCTGGGGGGCCTTTTTCTGCTGCATTTATAAAGGGGTCTTTGATGCATATAACCCAGCTTGACTGCACTCTGTATGGGCCTGACCTTTAATGTATCCCCAGGTTTAGTGGATCATAGCCACCCTGAAGACCAGAACAGAGCAACAAACAAGTATCTGCTACTACTCTGCGTCAGTTCTGCTCCAGGGATCTGTTATGTTTGGAAGGGACCCTGCTCACTTACTGGTTTTGAGCTCCCTCCCTCTGAGTGCTTTACCTCCCCTCTGCTTAATCTTGAAACCATCAGCTCCCCAGTCCGCTTCTCTCTAAACTGATGTTTGAAATATTTATTTCATTTATAGGCCGGGTTAGCAAACCCCGAATGGCCTTACAGATTTCAGCATGTGTCGTTCTGAAGGGGTTCAGATTCAGCTGTGACTTATGCACCATTTTTCTCACTGTCACCAGCAAACTTTGCTCCTGCCATGGTGATGACTTGTATATGGGCCACACAGGCCTGGATAAATGCAAATGTCCACTGTCCTTGTGAGCTCATGACGTCAGCTGGTGTACAGCCAAGCCTGTTAACTTCACTTACCTCAGGTTCAGTTCTCTTAAAGGTCCAGTGAGTAGGATTCAGGGGGTATATTGGCAGAAATGGAATTTAACATAATAAGTATGTTTAATTTCATGTATAACCTGAAAACAAAATTTACATAGGGAGCGGGTCCTTATCCACAGAGTCCGCAATAGCCCTGTTTCCACTGAGCAGTACAGTACGGTTCAGGTACGCATTTTTTCCATTTCCACTGTGAAAAGTTGTGGATGGTACCAATGGAACCGTTCCGTACCGTCCCCATGTTTGGTCCCCCCTCTGTTGTGTTACCTAGCACACAGATCTGGTACTAAAAGATGGAGCTGTGAATACCACCCACATTTAAGAGTACTGCGATCAGAAAAAAAGTCGAGCACACCTTCAGTTATCAGAGAAAAAATGGTGAGCACACATTAGCAGGTGCAGGGCAAGCGACCTGTCTCCAACAGGCCGAGGAGCCTTTAAGAAGTGCTGATTTGTAAAGTGAAACTGCTTTATTCAGTGGTTTTACTGGTTTTAATTACCTGGTTTGTTTGTTTCTGAGAGGAAAAGATCTCTGCGCATGGTTTAGCTTCCAGCAAAAATCTGAACAATGATCACTAAAGAAATTAAAACCCAGAGTTCACCTGGTTGCTACAATCTCAAATTCTCACCACTAGATGCCACTAAATCCTGTTCCTGTCAGTGCAAAAGGTTATTTCCAAACACTTCAATTCCTGTCTTTAAGTATAAAAAACACTGACATAAGCAGCCGCATAGAATTCATCCTGAGTGCTGCTTCCAAAACTTCTGTTTAGCAAACACACGTGCACTTTACTCCAGAAATTGATTGTTTGCAGGCAAGAAGGATGTGTGGATGGAAAGCCTCCCGAGGCATGTGTGCCATCTGTTTAGTTTTTAAAAAGCAGCTTAATATTGAATTTTTCAACAGATCAAAAAGTGGAATTTTCTTGTTGTCTGAAATGAATTTTCTGGAGTTGTTTCTGATTGGGGACAGCAGTGTTCCTCAAACAACAGGAAAGGCAGGGACAATGGAAGGAAGTAGAGGCTGGAGGGAAATGCTTTATTGCCTCTATGTTTCCTTTCCTTCCAGTGACAAGCAGCAGAGCTGTGTTAGGGTGGTTTTTCTGTAGTTTGTGGCACTTTGAGGTGTGTTTATTTTCTTGTTGTGTGTATTTGGATGGGTGCATCAGAGGACAAGACAAAGAAGCAGAGCGTCTATAGATGAAAATGACGTGTGTGTGTTAGCCTGTATAAGCCCTCATGTTGGCATTCATGTGTATGTTTATTAATCTTGTCTTGTCCGTCTCCAGAGTGTGTGTTTGTATTCCTGCACATGTACAGCACTTATGTTCTCTTTTATGTATTATTAAACTACAGATGTACGCACATCTGTTTCTATGCATGTGTTTTTGGTGTGTGACTGTGCATGCATGTACTCCTACCTCCCACTGCCATGTCGACCCTCTGTTTCCTCTTCCCCCCATCCTCAGGTCTGTACGAGCTGCTGGCGGCTCTGCCCTCCCAGCTGCAGCCCCATGTCAGCCGCCCCGAGGACAACACCTTCCTCCAGGACATGTTCGGGGAGAAAAGCCTCCAATCGCTCGTCAAGGTAAAACAAACAAACAAAAACAGCACCTCTTTCTTTTAGAGTCATGTGTTGAAGTTTTGCTCAGTGGTTCAGTTAAGATGTTTTCTGAGGTTTTGATGTTCATGTTGGTTTTGCCATAGCAATTCATATCCATCATGGTTGAAGCACTTCAGTTCTTTATGAATGTTTACTATCAGACTGGTGATTTACGTACGTTTAGATGTGTGGATATCATTTGTTTTACTATTTAAGATCTCAATACAGAATATCAGGGGTGTCTCCGACTATCAGTTTACATAGTTTAATATGATTTGTCAAATCTTGCCTGTTGACTGACTGTCAAATCGTGTTTCATTTTTTGCTCATTAATCTATATTCTCATTTGTGACGTTAGTCTCAATCCAGCTGATACACCCAACTAAGCACTTTGTCTTCCTAATTTAGCTTAAGACCTTATCTTAAAATGGGATGTATTCCATTCAGTGCTGTTTGTTGTGTGTCTAGGATGCATTTTGTAGGTGTGTGTTTGTAGGTGCGGCAGCAGCGGTGTCCGCAGTACTGAAAGGAAGTGGACAGCGGACAGAACACATCACTTAGTTCACTTCCTGCTCGCTTTCAGTGGTTTTAAACATAACTTTTGATTTGCTCTTAAATAGAGAGAGAAAGAAAGAGAGTGATGAAAGCTGAAAGCCACAAACAGCTGTTTGTACGCGCCTCCCCCTGCTGATTTTGGCAGAGAACTGTTCAAGCTTGAATTCTCGCCTCGCTGTTGTATGTCTCTGCAAACCCGTCAAGTTGCAGTTACAGTTTACATCCACCTCTGTGAAAATGTGGATGCTTTACACACATCTTTAACCCCACAGCACAGACGATTTATACGATCAGCACAGTTTTAAGTTTGGAACCCAAGATTAGTGTCACCAATTTAGTATCAGATCAAATGTCTCCCCTTCTGTTTCTGAGTTAGAACGTTGGGTAATGGCTAGACAAGTGTTTTTTGCAGAATATTATGATGTTACAGTGAAGTTGACCTTTGACCTTTTGGATATAAACTGTTATCACTTGATCATTTATCCTATTAGACATTTGTGTGAAATTTTGTCATAATTGGCATATCAATTCTAGAGTTATGGCCAAAGACATGTTTTGTGAGGTCACAGTGACCTTGACCTATGACATGAGACCACCAAATTCTAATCAGTTCATTCTTGAGTCCAAGTGGATGATTGTGCCAAATTTGAGAATATTCTCTCATGGCCTTCTTAAGATATCGTGTTCACATGAATGAGATGGATGCGAGGTCAGAGTGACCTTGACCTTTGCCCACCATATTCTAGTCAGTTGAGTAAAACTTTTTCATAACTGGCATATGAATTCTTGAATTATGGCCACAAATGTTTTGTGAGGTCACAGTGACCTTGACCTCTGACTTTTAACCACTAAAATCTTAATAGTTTATCTTTGAGTCCAAGTGAATGTGTGTGACAAATTTGAGGATACATCCTCGCAGCCTTCTTGAGATATCACATTCTCATATGAATGAAATTGATGCAAGGTCACAGTGACCTTGACTTTTGACCACCATACTCTAATCAGTTTCTCTCTGACATAAAGTGGACATTTATGCCAAATTTAAAGAAATTCCCTCAAGGTGTTCCTTGAGCTACAGTGTTGAGGAGAATGCAATGGACAGGGTAACTATGACCTTTGACTTTGACTTTTAACCACTAAAATCTTACCAGTTCATCTTTGAGTCCAAGTTAACGTTTATGCTAAATATGAATTTGAAATTTGAAATCCACGCTCGGTGTTCTTGAAATATCGTGTTCACAAGAATGTGACAGACGGAAGGACAACCCAAAAACATAGTACCTCATGTCACAGCTATCGCTGGTGCAGAGACATAATAATGATAATAATGATTAGTACTCTGTGAGGACCACATTCTTATGTGAGTGCTCTGCTAAATAGATTAATACCAAAATAAGGTAGATATAGTGACTTGTTTTGGAAGAAACCAATCAATTCTCTGTAAAATCAGACATCCAGCACCCGCATTCAGCCTGAATGGATCGATCCTTTGTTGGATAACCACATTTTCCTGCAACTGTAATGATTCGTTTGTGAGATTGGCAGTCGATTCAGGCTCCTTAAATCAAATCACTGAATGAGTCGACTATTCTGGGTCACTCCTAATAATAAAATCTGAAATAGTAGTAGACGTTTTAACAGCCTCGGGCCAGACAGTCAGTGTCTATTTTAACACTGGATCTGGAATTACGTCTAAGTCAACGTTACTCACCTTTACAGTCACATACTTCCTGCTGCCGACACACACTTGCACCTTTGCTCAACACAGCTTTATATAACCTCCTCCCGTGCAGTCTCATTCATACATTACTGAGTTTATTGTCATTCCAACAGTCGACCCACCCAGATCTTCTGACTCCCCCTCTGCCAGCATGAATGTGCCTGTGGTCCGATTACCGTCTGTTAAACTAGATACCTGCTGAGTTCGGGGAGAAGATGAGCACACTTGATATCTTTATACGCTAGCAGACAGACAGAGGTAATGAATGTAACACATTCAGTCTGTCTGATCTAACCTCATCTTCGCTTGGGATTCTCCACAATCCATAGCCAATTTCCTTCTTCGTCTCTTCTGTTGGAAAGGGAACAGGAGGGGTTTGTACTGTAAATGAGCTCGCTTGTCAGTCACTGTTCAACCTGCAAATACATGTAACAACTGCTGCAGCTCTTTCTCCAGTTCACTGATGTAACTGAGAATGCTTTATTACTCAGTGTGCTAAAAAAAAAAAACTGTCTAATTGTTGGTTACATTTGACTGTATCCTTTGTATATGGCCTCCATTTTAAAAGAATGCCCGACATTGTTTTCATGTGCTGGCATGATATATTTCCCCCTTTGGTGGTCTCTCTTGTTCTCCAGCCAGAATCATTATGTCACAGAGACGATTGAGGGAGAAAAATGGACATAATTTTCATCCCCTCCCACTAAAGAAATCTTTTCTGTGTAAGCATGTTTGTTCAGGATCCAGGGTTGTAATGCGCCAATGTGAGCGTGTAAAAGTGCCTGAATTATGGCATACCTCAGACGCTGAAGCATAAACCCTGATGTCGGGACTTGAGGAAACCAGAAGGGTTTCATTTGATGCCTGGATTGTTATGGATGGCCGAAGAATAAGGCCTCTTGAACATGGATAATGATGGGCAGGGCCTGCGCATGTTCAGGCTCTCGTTCTGGCCGGCCCCAAAGAAAACACAGCGCAGTGTGGGGCAGATAGAATGATGCTAATGAAGGTGGCATTATGTTTCTGTGATATTTAGCCAGGCAGAAGGGTGGAGCTCCCAGAATTTACCTAGCTCTCTAACCACCTCTGATTATACCTGGCTAAACTTTCAAGAGGAACTCAAAGAGCAGAACGTGTTGGGCTGTTAAGACAAAAGTGCCATGTCCTCACAGGCTCTATACCTGGAGTGCAGGAAGCTTTGTGCCAATTGCTAGACGAATTTGTGCTTGAAATGTCCACAAAGTGAATAGTTTTCCATGGCAGTGTTCCCCATTACTGTTGCCTACTTACCCAATAGTTAAGATGTAACCGAAATTCTGTATAGAAGATAGTTTGTAATACAAAAGGTGAGTGATTTTTGGGGAGGAAAAAATCATCAAAAGGCAGATTAGTGCAGCATCGACTGCATTTCTTTGGGTTTACCTACCAGACTTTGAGCTTGTGTAGTGACTGACAGAATTTGCAGTAACAATGATGTTGATAGATTTTTAGAAGCCACAGAATGACGTTTAAGTGGGTCCCCGATAACACAAGGCATTTTATGACAAATTGCAGTGTTAAACTCATGTTTGATCTTATATGGTCACACTACACACAATATCCAATGTGCCAATATGTAACCACTCATTTGACTGCTAACCAATATCCATATATTCAATATATCCACTTTTCTCCCTACCTATATTTTAGTGATCATCAAGTCTCTGCTGTAGTGGAATTAAGACATGGACACAATACTTTTCAATATGTAATATTCATTCATTGTGCAAGTACGAAAAAAGCATGTTGACTGATTCTGATAGTTCATTTTAAAGCCAATATCGGCCGATACTGATGAAGTGCCAAGATTATGGTGCGTCTCAACAGACAACAGTAAAGCATCATTTGGTCATCATCATCATTAACATGAGTCAATACAGCATCAATCAGTGGCCATGTGAGTTTATTTACCAATAACAAGATTGCAGCCTTGAATATTAAAATTAAATCAGTGCAACAAGGATCCGTCCTCTTGTAGCAAGAGCATTTAGTCTCTTCAGCAATTATTTAATCTTTGAACATGTGATCTTGTCTGTGCAAGGTTGGTGCAAAAATTGAAAGGGGCTGACAGTGAAGTGACTTGGTGCATTCAGATTTTAATGTGTCAAAGACGGAGGACGCCATACTATCAGCATCACTGGAATTAGATTGGGGATACAAGCAACAGATATTTCAAGTGCATACCTTGTTGTGGAGGTACTCAAGGCATGTCCTTTTGAAAGGAGACCCCAGGCTATAGGTGAGGGATTAGATCTGATCAAAGATTGCCATGTAATCCCAAAGGTGGAGTTGGAGAAAGTAGCTAGAGAAAAGGAGTTTCTGGGTTACTTTGCATAGCTTTCAAACCAGATAAATAGCGATGGATGGATGGATTGATAAGCAGGAAAAAAAATTATCTGCAGTACCAATCCATACCAATGGCAAAGAGACTGCGAGTTCTTAGACACAGTTTCCCCTTTCTCCATCCTGTCTTATTTTCTTTTGTTGAAACTGATTACAAAGGGAAGTTCAAAAAATGGAGCTCAGCGATTGTCAAACACTGACATGTCAGATGTGTGTGTGTGTGTGTGTGTGTGTGTGTGTGAATGAAAGAGAGGTTGAACAGTAAAATAAACTCCCAAAATGCCATTATGAAATTTGAATACCACTCTGTTCATGTGCCAGGGAGATA